CTGGCTCTGGGGTGGCTGGATCCTGTGGATGGAAGTCCCTGACTGTGTCCGCTAGATCCACTGGATCCACTAGATCCTTGGTTGGAAGCACTGGGGCGGAGGCTGGCTCAATTGGACTGTTCTCTTGCTCAAAAGCCTCCATCACCTCTCTCCGGTTCTCCTCCAACCACTCCTGGAGCTGCCTGTGGATGACTTCTTCCTCAGCCATAGGACAGGGTTTGAGTGTCAGGCAAGGAGGGCTGGCTCAAAAGTCAACAGCCCCTGTCGCCAGGTGACAGCTTGAAGTCGCCCAGCTGGTACTGGCTTCAGCAGCACCGGGATAAAGTCAGGCGTCACCCTCACCGGCAGGCGTCCTTCGGGCAACCCACAGGGGAGACTGCAAAGCACAAAGCGCGCCCTGTATGTAACAGAATCACACACTAGCCAAGCCTTGGGTGCAGTTTGGGCAGGACAAGGGCAGGGTCCTGGCTCACAGGGAGGCTCAACGTTCTCCCGCTGCGCCAGCTCTCGGTACTCCGCCAGGCACTCCAAGGAGATTCTCCCCGGCAAAAGGCAAACAACCATGGCTGTCGGAAGGGGGGTAGATGTGCTGAGCTGCTGTGCCTGCTGAGTGCCTGCTGTTTGCTGATGAGTGCCTTGCAGAAAAAAAGAGCTGCTGCAGCATGGGCCAAATAGCAGGCAATTTAGTTGCAGGCTGCACCTCAACTCTCTTCAAGTGCGCATGCTATCATGCACTAGACCTGCATGCTGCCCACCCCAGCCTCTCAGAACATCTCGCTGTGCTCCTCAGCTATGCCTTGGAAAGCGGAACCGATGCGCACAGGGAAGGGCCGCTGCCATATAAGGGAAAAGTGAGAAGAAATGCAAGTGTGAGATGCTACACTTCCCATAGTTGCATCTCTTGTCAGGTCCCCTCATGAGCTTTGCAGTGCAGTGCAAACACTGTGTTCAATAGTGACACTGTCAAGTGAGAAGTACGTGATGAACATATCGCAAGCCAAAGGGGGGCATAAAGCAGCCACACGATATGCATGCTTATCTCATGCATGCACTGCTCCTCATAATGTCTCGCACTTATGCAACGTGCTCTGACAGGCACCTCATGTCCCCCGCACTTTTGTATGTGTCTAACACATGTACATGTCTCTCATATGTCTGTCATAGTTTCTCATATTGTTCATATGTCTCATAGTTCATCATATTTATCACAGTTTCTCATATTTCTCATATTGTATCATATTTTCTCATACATTCCATAGTTTCTCATAGTTTCTCATATTTCTCATAGTTTCTCATATTTTCTCATATTTCTCATAGCTTCTCATATTTTCTCAGATTTATCATAAGCTCTCATACTTCTCATAGTTTCTCATATTTCTCATATTTCTCACAGTTTGTCATATTTTCTCATGCGCGTCTCATAGTTGCTATCATATGTTTCTCAGATGTGTCTCATGCATCTCTCATATGTGTCATCAAATATGCTACATACTTTCTCACACATTTCTCATACTTTTGCATATGTTACCCACACGTTCTCACATGTGTCTGACATGTCTGTCATACACTGGCATTATGCCACAAGCTATTTGCTTTCAACAAGTCTACCACTCAGACTCAAGCACATAGCTGTGGTGCATAGGAGTCATATAGTGTCAGCCATGCACTCAAACATGATTGCGCAATGCAAGCATGAGGAGGCCCGCCCGGGCTTCGTCATGTTTGAATTGTCAGTCATGCTGGCATGCTGCTGCCCTCTCATTGCCTGGACACTCTTTATGACACGCTGCTATTGCAAAACGATTACGTCAGAAAGTGCGCCCCACTCATTAATTAAGCAAAGAAGTGTTTCCTTACAGGTAGGGTCCATGCTGGCTGCAGAAACACACCCTCACTGTGACCAAGACTCATCTTGTGCGTGCATGCACTCTGAGGTTTGGTCAGCTTGCCATAGTCCATGCAGAGGCCTGGGCCGGGGGAAGGGGGGCCAACGCTGGCCCAGGATGCTCCATGAGCTTGCTGAGTCTGAGGAAATTGTTGAAGCTGGTTTACTTGACCCTGTGGTTTACATATATTGCCACTTTCAGCCCAGTGCAGAGCGCCCTGTTTTCTCCTCCCACGTGATACTTGAAGCAAACTTCAGCCATGGTAAGGGCAGGTGTCCAAGGGCATGCCACCCAATATGAAAACCAAAAGAACATATTGGATACCTACTAGGAGCCCGAGACCCAAAATATAAGGGCCTTCACAAAGTGCCAGGAGTTGGGGTCAGTAAATGAGGTTTGGGACAAGAATGATGGATTCAGACACCCCCAACACCCTAATGGAGGGTCCAATGATCCTCATACCCCTCTGACTCCCCGCAAGCTCTCTCAAAGTGGACCAAGCAAAGGGGTGCTGCCCAATAAAAGTGGTGCTCTGGGTTTTGACCCACGCCATGTGATTTGCTAGCAAATCACAGTGCCCCCTCCCTAAAAAGAGGAGGTTGGTGTTGGCTTCCCCTTGGTTTTCCTGTTCTGGCAGATCCTGTAAGGGTCACGACTCCTCAAGACCCTTGGACCCTCAAGATCAAGCCATTTCAGGCCCCATCGACACTAGGGTTATGCAACAGTGCCTACTGGGTAGCAAGATGGTCCAGTGGTCCAGTGGTAAAGTTTTCCAGTGGCTTACTGGACCACTGCACCAACAAGCAAACTCACAGTTGATGATTTCTCTGAGTTCAGCACTGCGCAGGCAGTAGCTCTGCCTTGCCTGGCGTGGCATTGGCCCCCTTTCAATGCCATGCCTTTCCATGTGGCCCTGCTACTCCCCCAATGTGTCATCAAAGCTTAAATAGCAAAACTGTGGCCCTTCCTGGCACAACCTTTGGAGGTGTCTAATAATTATAAGAAGCCATGCGCTCTGAACCATGCAGCTGTACTCGCAAATGCGCCAGGCAGACCTCCTCATGCTGCAGGGCAAGCCGCTGCAGCTGCTGCTTGCGCCAGGGCATGTTCCATGTTGGCATGTAACATGTGCTTTGGACATGCCACTCCTGTGCTCAGCTCTTCAGCACAGGAGTTTCATGTCAGAAGCACATGTCAATCTTCTCAGTAATATGAACATGCACACACAGAAGCACACATGTAACCAATGAGGGCAAACAACGCACCACATGTGTGTCACAACCATAGTGCCTACCCACCCAATGCTCACTGTATTGTAGCCATATCAAGCACTTAATCAACGCACATGTGTGGAAGCTTACCAACCCTCATGTGTGTAGCAATGATACTGGATGTGCATGAGTCTGCGGATAATGGCTCTGTGCTCCTCACATGCTTCTCATGTGTTTGCTAGAAACACATGTGAAGCATCTGAGAAACACTGGGCACTGAAATGCGCATGGTTTTATGGCCAATTCTTGGTTTATGGTAAACACGTACATGGCATGATTATGCCGAATTGTTGTGCCAAAATGGTCTGATTTTCCCCCATATGCTGTATACCAGTTACCTTTTGCTAGTATACCACTTCCATGGGTCAAAGTTTTGGTGAATTCACCTACCAACCAAAATGGTACCAACCAAAACGGTTTGACAACCACAGCCACATGTTGGGATCTGAAACCAATCGCCATTTACGCACAATCTAGAGCATGTCCTTGTTCCCACACTTGCAGCACGGCCGGGGCATCCACCGTAGGGGCAAAACGCGGTGACGCGAATTTCGTGCCAGAGGTTCATGGATGTTGTGTTACACGAAGAACCATCAAAGGACGAAATGGGTACCTCCTCTTACTCCCCGAGTTCATGGACTTTGTGCTTTTTGGGAAGTCCATGTTAGTGCTGGACTTTATCCTTTTTGAGACCATGATAGTTTGGTAGTGATAAACGAAAAGATCAGACTGTTTTGACAAATCCACTCAGGAAGTGACTTAACAACTGATCCTTGGGTATTTCAGCTGCGTTTTTTGGGATACGGCCCCATGGGAATGGTCCTATAGATGTGTCTTTGTGAAGGCCATGATCGGGCCTAAGGAGAACCAAAGGACATCCAAAGGGTACCCTGATCCGGATTTCACGTGGATCCACAAATGGGTGTCCTTCTTGGTTGTGGTAGTAAAAAAGATATCCGGGTTCACCCGGTGGTTTCATAAACCAGGGAAATCTATCCACCCATTTTCCCACAAGAGCAAGTATGTTTCTTCCAATTCGGGGGGTCCCACGGCCAATCGCGTTCGATGCGCGTCAGAACTTCGACTGCAAGACGGCGCTCTGTTGGGGCACTTGCTGGTGCGGGTGCTTGCCCCTCGGCCTTGCGGTGCTTCTCTTTTTGCGGGGGATTTTCGGACGTTCCGAAAGGGGCTGCGGAGGGACGTTTTGAAAAGCAGTGAAGAGCCACAACTTGGATATTCAAGATGTTGACCCCACATTTATCAACCCCAGTTGATTAATGGGGGGGGGGGTGTCCCCCTCCAAAAGTGGTCTGATTAATAGAGGGCTAGCCCTCTATTACTCAAACTGGGGTTGATTAATATGGGGTCAACATTGGTAAGCAGGTTGTAACCGTGTATGAGTTGTAAGGGGGACCATCACAGAACCTTGGTTATAACCTACTTGCTAAGTTGGTTGAACATCCAAGAAGGGACCCGAAAACAGGGGTTTGGTGTGCTTTGATTCGTCATAAACCCCTTACCCAGCCAGAACAGTCCTTATAATTCTCTTGGGTAGTTTTAATATCACTTTTGGTGGGGTGAGATGAGAGATAGGCAAGGAACCCAGAATTCAAGCATTGGGTAGGTCGGTGTTTTGGGAGTATCCTTTTTGGGGCTGTTCTTTGACTCTTGAACCAAAGGCGGTACCTTGTTTACTCTGCGGGCCCCCCTCAATGTGAATGTCTAGTAACGCTGACCCAGGATAAAGAAACCCGTCCCACGCCTCGATGCTAAGGACCAAGATCTGCGATGCCCGGAGCCCAGCGGATCGGCGGTCACGTGGGCCACTGGTTGAAACCCGGCCATGTCCGTTGCAGAATGTGGGGGACCTCGTCTCTTTTTGGGTTTTGGACCCCCAAAACGGCGCAAAGGTTTGCCGGATTTCCCCTAAACAGAACTCAAAACAAGGTATCCTGAACAAAGACACCCATATGGGTGGCTCGTCTTTGTCCGAGGGTACCCTCGCTAAAGAAAACAATTGGTCCTGTGAATGGGAACATGGTCTTCCGGGGGTGCCCCTGTGGCCTGTGGCAGGCTTGATGTTTGCTGTTGGGAGGGTGCCCTTTTTGGGGTTGAACACGAAACCAAAGGGAAGTGGTTGCTTCTTCTTTTTTTTTGCGGATTCCATATCTTAGCAGACAAAGCCAAAATAGATGCGTGTTTCTTTTGAGGTTGGACCTCCAAAATTGTGGTTCTTCCATTTAAACCACCCAAAACGGGGTCCCCTTTGGAGAGAGATAAACCCATGTGTTGCAAGAATTGATTTACGCCCTGCTTTCCAGGGCCATCTATGTTTCCAAAAGGTCACCTATGTCCAGGATTTGTGAATCGAAACCAGGAGTTGACTTAAAGAAAGTCAAGTTTCTGGTTGTTTGCAAAACACGCTGGGTTTCTCCCCGAAACATCAATGCAAGCTCCTGGGCCCTTTAAAACACAACAAGCTTTTGGCCTTTCCTGATAAGACATACTTAGTCTAGGCGTTCCCTTGCTGAAACCCAAGCTTTTCCACCAGAAGCACAGCTCCCCGGTTTCCTCGAAACAAACACAGCATGGGGCAACTTGGTGACTGCAGAGAAGAAGAGTACTAGAAGAAGAATAAAGAACAACAAGAAACATGTTTCCCAAACATTTTTCTCTTCGGTCCAACCCCCCAAAGAAAAACCAAACCAAACAATCAAAAAAGCCCAACTTGATCAAAGGACGTTCGTGGTTTGCCGCCAGAAACGCAACAACTACGGACAAACGACATGGGACCCATGTTTTTTAGGCTCCTGGAGGAAGCAAAACAAGCACAAGCAACTCCAAGGGTTCCATGAATCAAACGAATCAACTTGTTGACCATAGAGAAATGGATCCTAAGGTCACCTTGTTCGGGGTTGTTTCAAGAAGCCAGAGGTAAACGTTCGCAGAGAAACGTTCGGGTTTCCCTTGAACAACCAACCAGTCCTAGGTCTTGATCAAACAACTCACCACTCCAGGGGTGCTTGTACATACCCCTTTTACATACCCCTTGGGGGTATACAGGGGGTTGAAAACTACGGAAGCCAAGGGGCATGAACAAGGGGTATGTACTTCCACCCTTAGAACCACACACGCAAATTGTTCCCTACAGAATTCCCGTGCTTCCCTTCAAACACAACACATATTCCTGCGTTTCCCCAACACAAACAGTCAACCACAAATACTATACTTCCGTACACAATTTTGGGGTTTCCCTGGCAACAACACCAGCAAGCACAAATTCCCATGTTTTCCCAACAAACACGCGCAACCACACATGCACACACACACACACACACACACACACACACACACACACACACACACACACACACACACACACACACACACACACACACACACACACACACACACACACACACACACACACACACACACACACACACACACACACACACACACACACACACACACACACACACACACACACACACACACACACACACACACACATCACTTGCCCAAAGCCCACATGTTGACCATTTGGTTTTCCAGTTTTGGTCCATTTGAGTCATGGCCCCAAAAGGTGATCCCTCGTGTTTCTGGGTCCGAACTGGGCAAGACGCACATATCACCCGGCCAAACGTGTGGGGGCCCCCGGGCGGAAAGGCGTGGGTTCCTTGTTCTGCTCGCTTGCGCAACCGAGAGGGGCAAGGAACAATCCAAATATGGATCGAGTGTATCCTTTTTCAAGTGTGCCCCATTGTGCCCCCCTTTTCTCGCAACCCGGAGAAAAACAACACCATCACATGTGTTTTTTTCGCGAACATATCGTCTTTCTCTGGGACCTTCTGGTGCTTTTTTCTGGTGTAACCTGGAACTGCCCACTTTTCTGGCGCTTTTTTTCTGGTGGCGCCGTCACAGCCGTCTATCTGTTGTTTTTTTGTTCTTGCCTTTTCGTTTTTCCATTCTCGCGGAACGGGACCTGAGGCCAGCTCCTTGCCCAACACCATGTCCTTCCTCTGCTACTCCGCGATGCTCAGCTTCTCCTCCGAGTCCCAGGCGCCCATGGGCCCAGGGACTCTTCTCGGCTCCCGAAGGCCATCCGGTTCCTTAGAAAATTTAGACTTGTCGTGTTTATTGGGGGTTTCCATGTAACCCCATCCCCTGAGAAGTTTTAGTTGTTTTATGGTTTGGTGCTTGGATTTCCATGTAAGCCACGAAGAGTTAGTCAACTTTTAGCAGGGGATCGGAGGGCAGCCCAGTTTTGAGTTCAACGCGGGCGGGAGGGGGGGGAGGGGTGGCCATCCCTTCTGAAGGCCTTAAGGGTTTATTTTGGGCTCATCCAGGGACAGCCCCCGTAAAATTTCCACGATGGGTATAAGGGCTTTTGCACGGGCCTCACATTTTTGGTAGCCGCGAAGCCAGGTAGAGCCAGTGACAACCAAGTACAATGGGGGTCGATGGCTGTAACGGATCATGTGGGCCTGAACGGGTAGTTTGTTCTTTTCAGGAAACCATCAAAAACCCAGGGGAAACAGCCGGATTTTGAACAGAACGACGGTTGGAAAGCATGGAAAAGGAATCAACCCTTAGAATTGTTGTTCAGCTGAAGCGAAGATTTTCAAGAGGCTTCGCTTCTCCTTGCGCCAGGTGGACCCGCCCCTCTGGAGCAACCCAGTGCACCCTCCGGCGGGGGCGGCCAGTGGCAAGGGAGGCGTTGTTGTCGAGTCGTCCCAAAATGGGTATGGGTCAAAATATAACCACCAGGGGACCGCAGGTTTTAGTCCTTGGTTCCATTTACCAGGGTTCCATTTAGGGTACCTATTTTTGACCCACAGCGAAATCTGTATGGTTTGATGCTACCTGACCCTCAAACTACCCATAAAAAATTGGTTATGGACCCAAAAGATGTGGCGATTTCTTTTTTTGTGGGCAGTTTGATGGTCCAGGGACCCTGCGAGGAAAACCACCCTTCCCCATGTTGAACCCACATGGGCGCCCAAATGGGTGAAAGCGAAAAGTAAGTCCCCCAAATTCCTCTTTCGAGGAGCTGAGGAACCGACATACTTTCCCTTTATTGGTGGTAGAAATTGTTGGTAAATCCCAGGATTCGGCTTTTCCATCGGCCAATGTGACCTAAGAGAGTCATAGGAATGCCCGCGAAAAGGCTAGATTTATTCACCAGGTCCCGAAGTCAGGGCTCAGCCAAGTGGTTGCCTTAGGGCACCCGCTCATGACTGGGGTTAACCGTTAACCGTTTGTTTTTGTTTCGGCTGCCTTGGCTTAAGAGTATGTATTTACACAAACCCATGTTGACCATCTAAATCTCCACTACGTCTGAATGACGAGCTCACCCTGATTCAGCTTGGTGAAGAGAACGAATTAGTGTAGATTTATTTTCCCAAATCCATGGCTCCTGTGTCACCAGATCATTTCAATCTGCCCAGGGGGCCTTCGTTTGCTAATTGAACAACAACATCGTGCTAAACACCAGTCACCCCCTATCGAAGGGAGGTGTATGGAGTTCATGGACTATATTAACTTGGGGTTTTGGACTATTTTAGTGGCTTAGACCAAAACTTCCAGGACCTTGTCTGGCCACTCCGCTTGAATTCGGACGTGAGAAGCCGCACTCGGCCTAGGTGCAGTGCCCTTGCGTTGACGAGTGCTGCCTGGGAGCCGAGAAAATCGAGGGCTGGCGTGGGTACCCGGAGTCTCCATCTGACCCTGCAAAAACATTGGGGTTACTCAACATCAAAGGGGTCATGAGCCCATTCTTAAAGGGTCATTTGGCCGAGAAGTGGGTGAAGAGTGGCTGGAACATGACGCAGTACTTGTTTGAGGGTCATGAAGACTCCAGGTATGTGTTCAAAATCGGGGGGCCCAAAACATGACATGGATGAAGTGGTCTGTGCTTGTTGAGTGGGTTCCTCAGATTGGGCCAAGGTGTCGGCAACTGGGTGCTTTTGACAGGTCTCTCCTGTTTTTGTTGTTTCGTTCTGTGCAAAGACAACTTTTTTGTTGCTAACTTTCCACTTGGAAAGTTGCCGTTTCTGGTCACTGTAAAGTGAGTTGCTCTTTTTCGCTGGCATTTGGTCGTTCTTGTCTATAGTTTTGGAGGGCTTGCCAACAGCAGCCGGGCTTCTCGTTATTGTGGCTCAGTACCGGTTTGGGTTGTTTTGAAAAAAACCAAACGGAACTCACCCATTTTGGTGTTTCAGTCTTGAGAAACGCCCATTAAAAGGTTTGCCTTGTGTTGGATTCGGAGACCCAAGATGGTTTTCCTACAAAAACGGGGGCACCCTCAACAAGGGACGAGCCACCCATTTGTCGCTTGCTGGCGCGTGCACTGACACAAGGACCCTACAGACCACCCAAAGACCAAGGGTTGGCAAGCCCAAGGCAAGGCAAGGCCCAAAGGCGCCTTTGCAGGGTTTTGAAGGGAATTGGAGGAAGGGGCTGGGGGCAAGGGTTCGGTCAGAATTCCTGATCTATGGTTCATTTGGGAGAGACATGCGGGACTGACTAAATTTCCCTCAACAACCAGGGGGACGAGCCCAAATTGTCCCACAAAAACCGGGACAAGAGCCCAATATATTCCCACAACAAACCAACGAGCCCCAGCTTTCCCACAAAATCAGCCCGAATTGTCCTGTCCTCGTGGGGAAACGCTTTGGGGCTTTGAACCTTTGCTCCGTCGCAGGCGCTTTCACTACCCGCTGCATGATCTGCGACCCCAGATGTGGGTCTGTGGATTGGGACCGGGCACCGATACATGGATCCGTCGCCGAATGCTTTGATTAGAAATGGGGCATAACTTGCCTGCATTGGCAACCCTTGTTTACTTTTGGCTGGTAGGTTAGTCCATCATGTTTCTTGGCGGTTCCCAGCCTTCTGGTTCCTTCATTTGTTTTAGGTTTAGTTGGTTTGGTGTTTGGGCTTCCATTTAGCCCACTAACAGGAAACACACTTTGAGCAGGGTATCCAAGGACAGCCCAGTTTAATAAAGGCCCGAACAGTTCAACCAAACAGAGGTGGGCAAGTGGAGGGTCGTGAATCCCCCAACGACAGATACGGGACTTTATACTCTGCCTGGGTTTGGACGCAACCAAAAAGGTTAGGTGTTTGTTTGCTAACCCAGAGAATTGGGTAGAAACCTCCGTGCAATGGCGTAGCTATCCTTGTTTTGCTTCTCCTTTGCCGGGCGGCTTTAGCAGACATCACGTTGCGAGGGAGGGGGAATGCTTTGGGGGTCCCTTTCGGCTGATGGGTATCGGTTTTGTGTAGTCCCCAAATTTGTTTCTGGTGACAACAGCAAATCGCGTATTCACACCACCCCGCAGCCACTGCCTTTTCCCATGTCCAAACTCCCAAGTACTGTTCTACAAGCAGTGGCTGGGGGTGCTGGCATGTTCTTGTTTTTGTTTTTGTAAGGATCAACCAGTGCAGTTTTTGACGGGGCTTGCCTCTGCTTTGGCGTGGCGATCTTTGATTGTTTCTCTTGATTTAGTTTGATAATTTGCTGGCACATCGTTTGAAACGCAGCGGCGGCAAGAAAGCAAATTGGAGAGCGCGGATAGCTGTGTCCCGCGGATTAAGATTAGGGTTGGCCCCCCTCCCAGTTTGAACAACACAGGAGCATCGTGTGTTTTTGAGATGTCGTGTTGTTTCTATCAGTCCGGAAATGTCTCCAACATGTTCGTACTTGTCTCTTTCAAACCACCTTTTTTGTTATGCCATGTGTGTTTGTTTGTTCTGTTTGCGCTCAAATGTTCTGACCTTTGATGGCTGTGATCAGGGTCCTTGCTCGTTGATCATTAACTTAAGGTTGTGTCTTTTTTGTGGGATCTCCTGGACATATGTGTATTTTGTTCAGGAGGCTTAAGCAAATGGAAGGTGGTTGTCCGCGCGACCTGACCCTGACTCTTGGTAGAGCTCGCGAACACGTGCTCCAGGGAGTTTCCACTTCTGGGTTTTGGAGTTATGGACGGTGTGTCTACCACAGCACCTATCCATCCAAGCTTGTAACACAGAATCTGCTCCTCATGTGATAGTGTACATAGGCTCCATGGCTCGAAAACGCAAACATCTTCCCGGAACTGCCCTTGAACAGTTAGGAGACGGCTCGGTGTGTCCAATGCATTGGGACTGAGTGTGCAGGACTGAGAGCCCAAGCATTAGAAGCATTGCTGGAGGAAGCCGTGATCAAAGCTGGAGAGATTTCCGGGGCCCAAGCGGAGCCTAGTGCTTTAGCACCACAGCTGGCAACCAGGTACTACCTCCTAGCTTTTGCATGGTCTTCCCACCCACTCTCCAGGGTTTTACCAGGTTCTAGGTTCACCCAGGTATTAGCCCACATACTACCTCTACGGTTTTCCCAACCGGCCGGCCCATATGTGGCATTGTCAACACTAGGGGCTCTTGGTTTATCCTCTTTTTGTAGAAGGCGGCATCTTGGGCGGCAGGTCCCCACCACAGGGGTCCATATTTTGACCACACCAGACCAGGTACCTCTAGGTTTACCCGGGTATTGCCTCTATGGTTTTCCCAGCTGGCCGACTCAAAGGACATGCGAGACGTAATCTTTATGTTGCTTGGATGGTTAGGACTTCCACTTTTTGCCAACCAACAGGTTTTCCATTCAACCACCAAAAGTTAGTGACTTTTAGCAGGGGAGCAGACGAGTAATTTTTTTCCACTGGTCCGCGCCAGGACAAGTGCGGGTGCATGCCGAAGCGCCCCAACCCCCGGAGCCAGCTGTACCTGCTGCCAGGAAGCCCAGAAACTCGACGCGACGCATGGATGCGGCGGCGGCGATCCGTCTCGTCGCGTTTTTGCGTTCGGAGTTGGTGCACCTGGTTGTTTCGGTGGTTTGAAAGGGAAGCCGAAAAGGAAAGCCGAAGCCTCTTCTTCTTTTTTTTTGGGGGGGGGGCCTAAACAGGGGAAACCGTTTGGATGTTCAAGCAACGGGCTTAAGATCTTCCGGACGGGGAGCGCGAGCATTGGGACCGCGGGCCACTGGGACCATTTTGCAAACCATTGGGACCGCGAGCGCGCAGAGACGAAGATATCTCCATCCAACAGCCAGCTGAGCAAACTCCAGCTGGGCGATCTCCTTTGGACCGAGCGCGCGTCCAATCTGACGGTTGAGATCTGGACGGAGGATTTCGCTGAAGACCCGTTCTTGGGCCTTCGATACGCCAAGTTACCGAGTTACGTTGTAAAACGGCAACCGTTCGGTTGCAACCCACAAAACTAAGTTTCTCGGGAATGTGGGGTTCACAACTTGTGAAGGGGGCGAACCAATGTTGACCCCATAGTTAGGCAAATTCTTTCTCAATTTATGGCGGTGTCCCTTGGGTGAACTTCCCAAGTGGCTGACAGGCCGAACTGAAAGAGAGGCGCATCGAAGGCCCAAGCCCAGTCCATGGGGCCGAAGGGCAAGGACTAGTCCCTGGGTTGGGTGGAGCTCGCCGGACGCACGTACGCACCACGTGTGGGGAAACACACGCAGCCTGAGTGGTGGATGTCCTGTCCAAAGGCGGATTATCCATTTGCAGCAGAAGATTTGCGTTTTTTCCCTGTTGGTTTCAAAGGAAGCCTATCACTCTTGGCAAAGGTGTTTGTGAGTTTTCAGGGGGCTTAAGCAAATGGAGGTATGTTGGCCGTTTCTCAAGTTGACAAGTGCCTGGTTGTGGCTGTTGGGTTCTTTTACGATTGTAAGGGAAGCCGCTGGTGTTTGGTCCATGTTGGTAGAGATCTTGGCCAGTTCCCTTCGTGGAAGATCAAAATGACAGACTCGAAATTATCAATGAATAGATGAGATCTTTACAGAGTTCGGGAAGGGGATGTCGACCCCTGCGGCTCTCAATTTTTATGGTTCATTTCCTTATGGGGAATACTAGATAAACGGAAATTAGGGGTCCTAAAGCTCCCGCCTCCTCCGGGAAGGGCGGGTAGATAAGCACATATGGCTGTGGGTCAAAAATCGGTACTGCAAATGGAACCCTGGTAAGTGAAAACATGGACCAAAACCTGCGGTCCCCTGGTGGTTTAATTTTTACCCGTACCCATGTGTATGTGTAGCATATTCACAGACTTCCACACCTTGAACTTAGAGCAGCCCTTCGGCCTAGTTGGAGTTGTTGCAGCCCCAACCCCGCCCACCCCGACCCAACCACCGACCGACCAACGACCCCCCCCCACTCACGGCCCACCTTGTGCCTCGTTCGAGGTGGCGCTCGCGGTACAACGGCCAGCAGCCGGACCTGACCACGGTGCTGCGTCCCTACATGGACCGCGACTCGTGTGTCCTGTGGGTTTTACAAGCCGGAAATCAGGTAGATATGTTTTCAGCTCTCGGTGGCTTCCTCATCCTGGGCTTCCATTAAATCAGGTTACCCCTAGCTGGGGGTTTTGGATTTGGCTTGGAACCCCTGGTTCTTGTAGAGGGTAAAATGGGAAGCAGCCCCTAACCTGAAAACCACAGAAAGACTCCAAACCACCAATTGGAGCAACCTTTGGCTACGAAATGGGGCAGCCGTCTGGGGTCAACCCCAAAGCCCGCTGGAGGAATGAATCCACACACCTGTCAGAGCTTTCTCTCTTTTCAAGGATTTGTGCACACTGAAATTGTGCTTCGCGAGAACACCGTGACCCTCCAAAAGTACGCTGCAGATTGGTATATGGAACCCCAAACGCATTCCTGTTTGGAGGACTTCACTGTGGTTTTAAGGTGTTTATGTTTTTTGGGATCTGTTCATGTTTAGAGGGGCGCTGGTGCAAGGTTGTAAAGAGGAATCGGAAGCCCCTTTTGTTGGATTCTATGTGGATCCGCGGGTGGGGTAATTTTGAGACCTTACCAAAAGCACATGGAGTCAGCCCACTTTGACCAGTGCACTTGTTCGAAATAGAGTCCAAAAATGGACTCATCATAATCAGTGGCTCTGAGCTTTAGCGACCTCGCGACGGGGGGTTGTGCCCCTATATTTCAGGTGCCTGCGCGTGTGTGTTTGGTCTGTGTGGGGTTGAATTGACTTTGAACGTGGGCAAGTAGGCAACTGGCGCACGGCATTGATCAGGGTACAGAAGTGCACCGTACCAAAAGGCCCGGTTTGAACATAATTAGCTCACACCACCTGACAGCCCAGCTTTGCTTGCTGGGCAGTGCGGGATTGGTGCCCGTAATTTGTTGCAAGGCGCTTTTGGGACCGTCGATCGGAAGGACCTTGCCACCACCAACAGTGTGGAGGATGATAACGAAGGCACGCGCGGGGGGCGGCGCGGTGCCAGGATGGAACCGGGCCCCCGGAAATCCTCAATTTCCCTGTTTGGAACCTACGGTTTCAATAATCCCACTTACTCCATTGTAGGACATATATAAAAGCCATCATTTGCACATTGGGTAATTAGGTGTGTTTGTGGGTGCAGGATTACCTACATGGAGTGGCAGATTGAACGGAAAACCACCAATACATGTATCAACTTAGGAAATCCAGTGATTCCTGCCCCCTTGTCCAGGTCCCTTTAAAGGCGCTCGTGGCACGCCTTGCACCCGTTGCTCACGAAACGGACGCTCTCGTGCTCTGGTCGACGCCGCTGAGCGCGCCCGTGGGCAAGGACAGGGAGCAGTTCAGCGCGAGAGCCACTTCACCGGGGAGTCTTGACATGCGGCCTTGCTATCTCCACTACTACAGCTCCATGGCCAACTAGACACATACTGCGTACACTTGTCGGCACATTACCTGACGCACAGGCGGACAACAGCAGAGGTCTCCTAATGGACGGGTGATCTGCGTGCTTGTGCCCTACGCAGATTGTGCCAGGCGTCGCACAAAGATGATCAGCCCTGGAAACATGTCGAGCAGATTAAGTTCACCCACAGGGGCCTGTACATGGTGCTTATGCGCGTGCCATCCAAGCCAGCTTGAGGCTTTTGCCCACGTAATGACAGCAACATTTGACTCTGAGATGTGAACCCCGGATCTGAGTTGAACCCGTGGTGGATTTTGATCAGGGTGTCCCATTCTTTTTAGTGCGGATTCAGCCCATTTTTGGGGCCCTGAGGGAGCACTCCAAGGTTGATGAATCCTGGGTCTGCATCACCTGAGTTGCCAAACTTGATACGTTTCTTGGCGGTTCGACACCAGCCGTCCGGTTCCAGAAAGGTTTTGAGTGGTTTTTAATTGGTTTTGCTGGGGGGGGGGGAACCTTTGCAGGGCATCGCCAGCAAAAGCAATGTCTGCCCCAAGCACCACCCACTTTTCTCAATCAGGTCCACACCACTGTTTGAGATGGGGGGTGTCTCTCAGTTTCCGGTTGTCCGAAAGGATGACAATGAGACCGGCATCCTTCCATTCTTTGTTGTAAGGATACCCGGCGACTCTTCCACTTTCATCATTTCATCCTCCAAAGCAGCCGGGTGGGTAGGGAGACTGGGTCCCGCGGCGGACATCCGAAAGCGGAAATCGTACAAACCTAGGTGGGTGAGCTTCATTGTCAGAGTCCAGCACCCATGAAAGCCATCCATGTGAGACTTGCTGGGTGCTAAATGGCCCACAAATCAATATCTTCCCAACAGGAGGGGTTGCTGTTTGTATTCTTTCCAGACCCTTGCTGTATTGCCCGGCTCGGTTTGGAGGGCGTTTACAATAGGAGAACTGAAGCTAAAGCGGGATTGATTCTTCGATTCTGTTTGGGTCACTTGCATGGAGCAAGCAGCCAAATCAATTAGTGACAGAACAAGGTTTGGCTCAGGCATGCAACTTGGTTCGCGTGTTGGTGTGTGTGTGTGTGTGTGTGTGTGTGTGTGTGTGTGTGTGTGTGTGTGCGCGTGCGTGCGTTCTTTAGGAGGCCCCCAATATAGAACAAGCATAAAGCTGTGCGGGTCTTTCTTAATCTTGAATGTAGTGCGAGATCAGAATTTGCGAACGGTTCAAAGGACTCCCTCCCTGAGTTCATGGGCCTTAGCCTGTCCTTTTTGGAGGGTGTCCTGTTTGAGAGGGTACCCTTTTGTTTGGTGGTTTGAAAAGACACCCACTAGGAAACCACTTGTTTTTTTTTGGGGGGGGTCTCCTAAAAAGGATGAGCCGCCCATCCTAGCAACAGACAGTTCGGTTACTTGAAGTTTTGGGCAGTCGATGGGAAGTGAGAGGACCCACTTCTGACACGCATTTTCTGGGGCCTCACACGGCCCCAGGAAGGTACCCCCCAAGTGCTGGCTGGTTTGTTGAGGAAAGGCGAGGCTGAAACGCTGGGAAAGGCGGAAAAAAAGCATCCCATCGTGATTCCATTGACATGTATAGTAGGTAACCAACGGTTTGCCGTGCTTTGAAAAGCACTATGACAATTGTTGGTTATCTAGCATAGTGGCGAAGCGCCTGAGATGCACTGGGAGTGGTGGCACCCTTGAAGTCTTTCAATCAACTCCACTGATTCAGAGCCGATGGGAGGTTCACGGCCCTTAACTATGAATGGTCCTCACTGGCCCGTAATTTCATGGACCCATTAGGCTGCAATGGCTCCCATTGCCCTGAATCAGATGAACGAGCGGAAGCCCCCACAAAATGGTCAGAGCCCAAACGGGTTCTATTTCTCGGACTTGCCAAGGCCAACCTTTTGATCTTTTGGTTTTTGCAGTTCTTGTTCCAGTGGCCCCAAAACGTTAACTTTTTTTTTCCGGGTCCTTTGGGGAACTGCTTGATCAATGTTCCCCCCCAAATGACCACGGGACTGTTGTTTCTAATTAGTGGGACATATCAAAGGAGGGGTATTTATTAAAAAAAAAAAAACAACCATTCCCAAAATAATTCCGCACCCCATATCAAACCTGTTTCGTGGCTTTTATCCAATGATCCTATCATGGAGCTTTTGATGAATTGGGAACTGAGAATCGATCGGCCTTGTGCTTTGTAAGGCTACCCAAATGTTTATGGTTTCCCCCTAACCCTGAAAAACCTTTCATTGGTTTCCCCTTGTGTCTGGTAATGATGGGGAAACCAATAAAAATATTCACATACCAACAAACCCCCATAAACAATAAAAAAGATGCAAAACACATCACAACTTTTGTGGTTGGTCAGGGGAAGCCGCTAAAAGCAGATAGCCCCTGGTTCGCTTCGTCTCACGGCCCGCCTGCCTGGCTTCCCTTCGGCCCGGCAAGTTGCGGCACCAGAAGCCCTCGGAGTTTCACGCACGCACGTTTTGTGTTTAGAGAAGCTCGGATTGGTGGATGCCCAAAATGTTTGTGCATGTGCTTAGGTTGAAAAATCAGGTTTTAGGCATGTGCTTAGGTTGAAAAATCAGGTTTTAGGCATGTGCTTAGGTTGAAAAATCAGGTTTTAGGCTGCAACAAAGCGACATATGCCGATGTTCAACAAGTGCGTGATTATGCGCATGTCAATGTACTATGGTCAATTCAAATGAACCTTCCTCTAGTTTGCTTTACATATTTGTTTAACAACACAAATATCACCATATTTTGTTATTAGTGGTCCTCTGGGTTTGGATCTTACGTGTCTTTTTTCGCCCTTTTGTTGGGTGCGTGCCGTGGGTTTTTTGTTCTGCGTCAGGCATCACGGGCAAGTTTATGGACCTCCTGGAGCAGGGTGGGCTCTTCACCCGAGACGATCCCGAGCAGGAGCTCCAATCGTCATGAGATGTTTGTTTTCAGGCCTGAGTTCCTGGAATTGTTTTTTTTTGTTGGGGGGGGGAAGACCATTTGAATGGCAAGCAAAACGTTTGATTTTTTTGTGCCAACTATTTGTTTGCCAACTCACTCAGGCACAGCGAGTATCAATCGGTTGGCACGTGCCCCTTGCTCCCTGAGTTCCTGGACTTTCACCGTTTTGGGGTTGGACCATTCTAATGGCAAACAACACGTTCGGATTTTGTTTTTGCCAGCCCACTCAGGAAGTGAGACCTGAATTGCGGGGAACTTGTACCTCTTTCCTATGGAATCTCTTGTGTGGAAACTGTACCTCTCCATTAAATATACTAGCTGTTCAAACTTAAACCCCTGTGTTGTGTATACCCACCACACCCATGTGTTGTTCAAACCCATGGATTGCAAAGAAAAGCTTCCGCTCACGCAAGAGAGAACCGAAAGGCCAGGCAACCAGGCCGAAAACCGAATGTGTAGAGCCGGACAGGGGTTCCCTCCAAGCTTGTTCGCCAGACCAAAGGCTTACCTCAACTTTTTGCCCCTTTCGGTTTCCTCCAAGTCAAGTTCGTTTGGATTTCTTCCGTTTTTGCGGAGTGTCAAAGTAGAGAACCCCAACAATTGGCATCAGTTGTCATTTCGATGTCGCGTAAAAGCCACGTTGAGGAAACGCCCCATTCAGTGGTCGACTCCCACGCCTTTGGATAAGCATTAGCCAGGTTTTATCTAGAAATCGGCCAGAGCGGGGGGGTTCCCAAAGGGTGTACTGTTGACCATCAACCAACCAGTTTATTATTAATAGGAGGTGGGGATAAGCCCCTCCAAAAGTGGTCCGATTCCCCCCCCCCTTATAAACTGGGGGGCAACATGAATCCCAGGGCGTCATAGGGCACCTCTAGAAATGTGCACTTGGCATCACCCCCAAAGGGTCCGTCCCAATACAGCGTCACAAGGTTCTTTGGTCCTGTGGCTCGGTTTCTCTTGGACCAGTATTACCTGCTAAGTTGGCAACTTCCATTCGCTGAAATGAATAGGTGTTGCTTCCCCTTGTTGACCATCACTGCCGGATTTGTTGTTTCTGGAAGAAAAGCAGTTGTTTCGAACCAGATAGCTTGCAAAACCTGTGGAGAACCTGTTGCGCAAGATGATTTAAGACAACCAAAAACACATAGATGACTGGGTTTCAATGTCATTCGGCATGGTTGTTCTTGCTCTTCCATTCGGGAGGCAAGCGGTGGAGGACGTGCTTTTGGAGTTGGTACCCCTTTGATTAATATGGAAACCCCGACGTGGGTGGGTCCTGCCATTACGTGGGATCTGGGAATCAGAATCCTATACTTCCATTTGCTTAAGAATATTCAATATGTTGCCTGTTGGTTTTAAAGATAATCTATCACTGGACATATTTTCTCGTTATATTCCAGTTCCTTCGGTTCCTGCCTATCTCCCCTCGCTGGGCTCCCCCACATTTTTTTCCGAGGACTCAACGCCAAGCCGCCAAGCCATTCTGGAAAAATTGCTTGGTTTTTTAAGATCATGATTGGAATTGGGTGAATCTTTGTAGTTTTTCGGGGGGTCCGACCCACGCGATCAACCAGGAATCTTTTGAGCGGTTCGAACCCATGAGACAGACCCGCATCGACATGGGTGGGGATGTGTTTAACTCCCAGAATGGCTTCGGTTTTCCTTTCGCTTTTACATAAACAACCACTAAATAATATTGCTTCAAAACGAAAGAGCCAAAAGACGGACCCACATGGCTTTGGGTCAAATTCAGACCACCAGGGGACCGCATATTTTAGTCCTTGGTTCTTGCCCAGGGTTCCATTTTGGGCCTTTGGGTACCCTTTTTGACCCACACCCACATGTGAAAACGCTAACCCAGCTGAAGCTTGGGATAGGAGTCGATGCTGGAAGGCGGGAGTCGGGAGTCCCTGGGCGGTTCGGAACCAGCGAATCGTTTGGTTCCCAGAGGTTTTTAGATGCGTTTAGTTGGTTTAGTGGGGGTTCCTTGGTTTGTTATTAGTTTTGAGTTGTTTTTAGTTGGTTTAGTGGTTGCGTTTCGTAAAAAGTCCACCTTTTAGCAGGGGCTCTGAGGTCAGAACAGATCCAGATTTTGGGTGTCACTGAGGGAAAGTCAACAAAACACACAGGTGATCAAGCAACAAGAACACGATTGTCTCTTTGGTTTCCCCTTGAACTAAAAACAACACATCGGCATGCGAAACGAGAGGGAAGCAATTGTCCTTCGGGTTTCCCGTCAAACTAAACACATATTGGTATGTGTCAAAATAGGGAGACCCAACACACAGTTTCAAATTGTTGGCTTTGGTTCCCCCCAAAAAGAGCTTACCGAGCCTCCAAACAAGCACACCCTTTTGCTTTTTGTGCGATTATTGTTTAGTGTTGGTTCCTTTATTGTGTTGTGCTGCTTGGACTTTGGTGCTGTGGTGCTTTTTGGGTTTGGTTTGGACTTCTTTTGCGGTGTGTTGTTATGCGCGGTTTTGGTTTGGTAGGGCTTGGTGTTGTGTTGTGTTTGGTTGCTTTGTGTTTGTTAAGCAGTGGTTGTGTGGTTTGTTACACTGGGTTGTGGTGTGTTACTCGTGTTGTCGTGTTCTCTTCTGTTGCATCTTACGTTGTTTGGTGTTTTTGCTGTTGTTGTGGTGTGCTGCGTTGTTTTGGTTTGCGTTGTTTCGTTTTGTGGTGGCTTTGCGTTGGCTTGGTGTTGTTGTGTTGTGTTTTGTTATTGTGTTGCTTTGCTTTGTTGGGTTGTGCATTCTGATTATTGTATTTGTATACATGCGTTGTGTTTGCCTTGTGATGCAGTTTGTTTTGTTTTGTTTCGCGATTTATCTGTGATGTTTGTTGGTGTTGTTGTATTGTGCTTTGTGTTGGTTCCTCGATTTGTGCTGCCCTGTATTTGTTTGTCTTGCTTTTGCGTGTTTTGTTCTTTATTGTCTAGACATTTTTTTTCGGTGCGGGCCCTGTGCTCTCTGGCCTTTTTTGATTGTGGAATCAGAGGTTGTATATTGCCACTTTCGGTACCAAGAGATTCGCCTTCTGAGCAGCAATTCGCCGATTTTTGGGCCGGTTTCCTGGAGGTGTCCTTTCGAAATACACCCACACAACATTCTAATAGGCTGTGCACCCCAAAATGGGTTGCCCGATCGGTAGAGGGAACCATGGACTAAAACCTGCTGTCCACGTCCTGGTGGTTGAATTTTGTGACCCCTGCATCCACGAATGTTTCTCAACATTGTGGGCGCATTTTGGATGCTCCGGGGAAACCTGAAGGGTCTCTAATTTTGAGAACCACCCAGTGGTAGACCTATGCCGGGTGTGGCTTGCCAACGTGTCGAATTCGATTGCGGATTAGGGATCCCGCCAGCTTGAGCAACCCGGTTAGCTTCCAGTTGCTTGTCGCGCCCAAACCTCCCATTGGCCCATTTTACCATTCGCTTAAGACATTGTGTTCATTTTTCCCTGTTGGTTTGAAAGTGAATCTATCACTACTGAGATGGTTTTCGTTTAGGGGGTGCACTTTCTGAGGCTTTTCTCAATAAAAGAAGAGCCGGTTTCCCTCCAAAAACCCAGGGCTCCAAAGGAGGAAGGCGGGATGTCACGCAATGCTTCGAACAGCAGGTGTCAACACCGCTGCCCGGAGCCTCAGGTTTTGGACCACAGGCCCTGGGTGTTTTTCTTTACTAGGTCCCCCCAGTAGGGCCCTTCTCTCCCCTTTTGTGGGGGGCTACGGAAAAATAGGGTATTATTCTAACCTCTCTACTGCTTCTCTCCACAGAAAAATAGGGTATTATTCTAACCTCTCAAATCTGGAGGACCTAGTTTTAGGTTCGGTAAGAGATAGTGTTGACCCCAGAAATGGCAGCAGGGTTGGATAGGTGGTTGGGAAAAGCACTGGTTCGTGTCATGTTGATGAGGGTGACTGGAAGACCCACCCGTAACCTTCAAACCACCAAATCGAAGCCAGCAATTTAAAGGATGCAATGTTGATGTTGGCCCTGCATTCATCAACCGACCAGTTTATTAGCACGGGGATGGTTTTGGACCCCTCTAGCCTCTAAACGTTTTCTATCACTAAACTGGGGTTGAGTAATATGGGGTCAACATTAGACGACACTGGTTTAGGCTGGAATTATGGAACCCCATCTAGCTTTCCAAAAGGCCACCTCTGCAACTTGCACCCCGCTGGCCAAAGCCCCTTTTTTGGGGTTCCTTCAGCTTTCTTTTCCCAGCAAACCGTTGTTTTTTTTTGCTAGGGTTTTTAAGTCTGGCCCAGTTTGGTGGATGTACGTGCATTGTGAAACACAATTATGATAGACTTATGTATAATATATATATATATATACACTGCCTGTAGAGCTGGTGTTCAATACGGTTGCCAATGTTTGTGTTCAGGCTCATGACATTTATGGAGGTGGACAAGTTGCTCTGACCCCAAAGGGCAGTAGTGAGTTCCCTAATCACAGCGACACACCGGGGAAAGACGAGCTCAGAGGCGGCCTTGGGTCAGATTGGTTAGAAGTAGCTGGCACTAGTTTAGATCTCACTTCCGAGTTCCTGGACTTCAAAAACTTGTTGGAAAGACCATTGTAGAGGCAAAGAGAAAGTTTGGACTTTGCTTGAACCATCAACACAGGAAGTGAGAGATTGATTCTACGCCCCATTTACCAGGGAACTCTATCCATTTGTCCAGAAAGTCACCTGTGAGCTCAGGACAAAGGCCTCTCTCTTTGGGATTGCTTGAGGTTCGTCAGCAGTTGAACTTCTATGGTTGCTCTCTCCCAGCTCTCCAGCGGAGTTTTTTTTTTCAATGGGGTAACCCCTTCAACGCGACTTGGATGTTCGATGCGCCAAGATAGTGAGCGGTTAGCGCACTGGTTTTGTTCACCCATTCGAACAAAGTCACCCCACATTCACGGAAGACTTGCAAGCGGGAAACAGAACGGTTACCGTTACAACTCACCTTGGTGAATCGCAGGCCCAAGTAACAATCATTTAGCAACCCTGAAACTACCCGACTTTAAAAAAGGATTCTTGCCCCAAAAATATCGGATCAACACCGTTTTATGGGTAGTGTGAGGGTGCAGGAACTTTCCTTCGGTTTTTTGGCTTTTAGGCCTGGGTTTGTGGTTGGGTTTCCATTTAACCTACTTTTAGCAGGGGATCTGAGGACAGCCCATTTTTCCAGCCTGTTCAAAAAATAAGGAAGTCTTCATTTTTCAGTGGCAATCCCAAAGGAAACCCAGAGGCAATGGGCAGTTTGCCAGCTGGGCAGTTTAACCCACAGCCAGATCTGCAGAAACCAAGTCCCCTAGCACAAATCTGCTTTCGGACCTTAGCCTTAGAACTCCATCGGGCTACATTTGAAGCGTCACCGGGTTTGCAGAAACACGGTTGCCAGAAACCCCATGGTTTTGGCTTCTTCCTTTTACACGTTCCTCCGGGAGCCTTGGAGACACCCCCCTTGTACGACCCCCGGCTTAGGAATTCCATAGCACTTGGAAGGAAGCATGAAGAGAACCTTTCATGGAGTTTCAAGCCAACCATGTGCCGCCGGCCAAAAAGTTGACAACTGGTTGGCATGTAGTTATTCAACCATATTCTAGGGAGGTTTGCTTTTTGTATCACCAGAAGAACGGGAGGTGTACTTCACGGTTGTTGGCATGTTTTGTTTTTTGGGTCTCTTCATTTTCAGTAAGGAGCTGCCAAAACCAAAGTTGTTTGCTACACCATGGGTCTGGAACGTGTACCCAAGGAATCTAACAGATGACCAAACCTTCAAGCTTGACATCTCCTGGTCCTTAAAGATGACCAACCCCTCAAGTGGGACAAAACCTACCTGGACCCGAAAAAAATGACTACCCATAGAAGAGGGAAATCGTCAAGCATTTGTTTGGGTTGCGAAAAAGCAAATGGTAGTTGGAGGGTCCAGGTACTTCTCGGGGTCCCGTGCAACGCGGCCTTTGGAGCTTGGGCGGAATCCAACGTTTTGGTCTCGCAAGCAGGCGGTGCAGGAAAAGCTGAAGGCGGGGGAGTCGAGCGTCGCGCCGAATGAGAGATGTGGTTCAGGCCATGATTCGCCAACGCTTTACCAAAAAAAAGAAGTCGCAAAATCCTGGAAGACCAGTTGGTTGTTTAACAAACATATAGCGCAGTGCCAACTAACAACCGGGTATTTGGTGTAGGGTGTACTCCATGTTTGATTGACAATGTGTTCAACATACTGTTCGGCTTCAATGTGTCAGTGTATGTTCGCAGTTTTCGTCATAGTGCCCGCCCAACAGTTTTAAGGCTAGACCTGCAAACAAAGCCTCTGCAACATTCAGCTGGGTTTACCGTTTTTTGCGGCCAAGTTGAACCCTTGGCCAGACCCAGAAGGTTAGCAGCTTTCTAAAAGAAGAATCGCCGACCTTGGAGGGAACCCCAAGCGTTTATTGACATGGTCTTTTTCTTTTTCCAGCGCCAAGGGGATCCGGCCAGATGTTTTTTCAGGGCCGGCATCTTGGATCTTAGGCCTTGTTCTGCTTGGTTTTGTCGACGGCCCTGGACAATTGGAAGAGGAAGGCCGAGACCATGTGGGTCTGCCTTCTTTTGAGGCCTTCTTTTGAGGGCACCCTTGTTTGGCGGCTTTAAAGGGAAACCACAAGGAACACCATGTTTGGGGGGGTCCGCCATTTTGAGAAACAGGAGCCGGTGCTGTTTCCTGCTGTTCTCCCAACCTTTGAGAAGGGTGGCCTGAAACCCATCCTCCAACCTCTACACATGGAACCCTTGCAAACCAACGGGAATGCACAAACGGAGGATCTTCACCTCCTGAAAAATTGGGTGCGGAAAGTTGCAAAATGCCAAATACAGAAGACAATCGGCGCTAGCTAATTTAGATAGGGCCCCCTTTTGGTAAACAGGAAGCCACCGGCAAAGGGTTTCTCGGGGACCGACTATTTGGTTTGGGGATCAATTCGGCCAGTTTTGGGGTCCCAATCGATTTGGGAGTTTCTTAAACTGGCCCCCCTTTCGAGTAAAGAAACCAAAAGGAAGCCGATTTTTCAGGGACACATTCCTATTATACCATTGTGACACCCCTGTTATACCCGAGTAAACCATGCAACTAGTTGGGGGACGGATGGGGACGGATTCCTATTACACTACTTTGAGACCGAGCTCTCCCATTTTTGAGAAAACCCCCCCCTCCTCTCCCGTTCTTGAGCCGTTTTTGAGCCCCCCCGCGCTCTTCATTTTGACGCGTGCACGTCATCAGGAGGTGGAGGTCCTTCGCAAGATCATGGGCGCCGCCCACAGCGACTTCCGCGCCGACGGGGGGAAGAACATGCATCACGAGGAGCCTCCGGCCGTTGGACCGCAGTGAGGCGAGGCGGGGTCGGTGAATTCACCGCTGCCGTGACTTGGTTTGTTAGGGGCCGAGATTCCCTGAGTTCCTGGACTTTTTGCTTTTTTGGAAGACAATTTTAGTGGTAAATGAAAAGTTCAAGCTTTTTTTGGCCAATCTACTCAGGAAGTGAGGGGCAGGGTGCGTCTGGGAAGTGCTTGGTGACTCTGGCTGCATCCTACCTGGGTGTTTGGTTCGCCAAGTTAGTAAGTTGTACCAGTAACCGATTACAACTAATTACCCGCGTAGAAATCCCGGGGTTACGCTTGTTATTAGAGGGGTTATACCCCAAGTGGCGGACCACTTACTAACTTGGCCGAACATCCAAGTACTTGCGGGAGTTATCAGCCAAAGTAAGTTAGTTGCAATCAGGGCTACTAGTCACTTACCTCAGCTACCGTGACCACTGGTTCCATTGGTTTAGATTGGTGTTTATGCTCCATTTATTTGGGAAACCAATCCATTTCTCCCAAAGGTCACCTTTGGAAACATCGTGCTTCCCTTGGCACCTTTACAAAGATGAATCTGAATTACTAACGGATTTTTTGATCATGGCACATGGCTGAACCGTTTTTGGGTGGGTGTTGGGCCATTGGGAATCCACACAGACCATGATATTGTGTCAACGAATAGCAGTATCTGAGTAGTTGATATCTTCAACAATATTGGGTGTGTTATCTTGAGCCCAACGTTTTTCGCTGTGTCTCAATGCCTTTCGTTTTTGTTGTTGTTTGCTTGTGTTTAGTTTTGTCGGCTGCAAGAACCAAAGGTTTGGCCGCTAGCAAGGGTGTTGGGACAAGCTTGTAAGTTGGTCGCCATTCGGTGCTAGGCTGTTAGTGTCCCGCGAGGGGTGAACAACTTGTTAAGGGGTGAAAACAAGTCCCCCTATGGTCTTCCCCCCACAATTGAAGTCCAGCAACCCAGTGAGAAAGCGGCGTATGGCGAAGGGGCAAAAGCAAGTCTTGGGCGCGTTCCGAGCCCCGGTACAAAGAACTACTTGGATGTTCGATGCGCCAAGATAGTGTCTGTGGTGGCCAATTGGGTATGACCCCGTCATAACAAAATGGCATGTTGGTTTTCCAGTGGTCTTTTGTTACACTTTTATTTTTGGTTCCAAAGGGGCAACTGAGATTTGAGTGGCAAAGAATAAGCGCAGGTGGTATCCCCAACAACCCCACCACCTCGAACCCTTCCGCCCTCCGTGAAAACTGCCCCAATTTCCAGCCGGATCGAGCTTATTTGGGCTTGGGCCTATATCGCCCCCAAAGCTGAATCAGCTATTGGGGCATCAGCCAACACAGAGAAGCCAGAATAGGGAGACCCCAAATTGGCGGTGTTCGTTTTTGTTGTCCCTTTACCCCACACCCAAGAGGCTTTGCCTTCTTCGTTTCTTTTTCCTTGCTTTTTTGTTTTTCTTCGAAAGACGGGCAGGTACCAGCTGACGAGTGGCAAGCGAGTCTTGAGACTCACGGTCGAGTCTGGCACAAGTCCCAGATGCGCGTCGCATCCGGGAGTCTTCGGAACATGGCATTGGCCAAGAGGGAGGTTACGGACCTGGAGCATATGTATCTGGTTACTTTTCTCAGGAAATCAGACCTGACTCAATATATATATATACACATGTATATACCATATTAGATATGCTCATGGATACCCTTTTCTCAGGTCATCAGAACTGCATCCTAACAATTACATATATATATATATATAATATGTATATGGGAAACCACCCAGCTCCAGACCTTCAAACCAAAATCCAAGCCAGCAATCAGAGGAAAGCCGATTTTCGGGGTGGGTTTGAAAGGAAACCACAAGAGTCGGCCTGCCATTTTGCGGGGCACTTAAAGACAGTCCGGTTGCATGTTAACCATTCACTGAACGTGGGCCAGAATCAATTGGCGTCAAAGGCTGAGGTAGCAACGGGCACAGGTAATAACATGGTTGTTGTTGGGAAACATTTTGCATTTTTGCTTATTGTGGTTTAGTGCGGAAATCCCCACTGAACTGCTAGAATTCATTTTTTCCTCCCCTTCCAACGTCAACCAAGAATAATGTGTTTAAGGGGAGCTGGCAAAGAGTTCGTTGCATCGGTGCGTAGCATTCACATGCATTTTGGAAGGCTACTTGGATCCACTCGGCTAAGGTATAACGGTATAAGTGGTTAGCCACTTGGGGTTTTTGCACTCCCGGTAAGTCAACGGATTTTTGGATTGGCCAAATATGGAACACAATCTTCACACGGGCCATGTTACAGGTTGTTTTATTTTTTTCAACCATCATTATTTTGAGAGAACTGCCGTTCCCCCTGGTCCTGGGGTAGGTTTCTGGAAAGTTTAGGTTCTCCGGAAAGATCGGGAAAGTTTAGCCATGCAGAGGGTCTGCAGCTATATGACAGGTATCCGCATTCCACGGTAAATGGCGGCTTCACTGCCCAAAATGCACTTGGGGAGATCGTGAAAGGTGATTTGTGTGAGCGGGCAAGACGTTGGTTGGATGATTAGAGAGCGAGGGGCATGGACTGGACTACCCAAAGGTATGTGGTTCACAAGCCACCGACTTCTAATCTCTTGATTGCCTGCAGAAAGGCACCCTGGAATCCAAGCCATTGAAAAAAGAACAGCCCGTATTCAATTGTCCTAAGCCAAAAGGGGATGGCATAGGTTGCCTTTGTAGATTAGTTAGAAGCCAATGGCTCGCTGGTTTCGCTTGCTCTTCGGTTTGCCAGGGCCATCAGGCCATCCGAGCGTCCGAGCGTCCGAATGGCTGGCGGCCAGGACCCCAGCAGGACCGCGTTTCCCCATGAGCTTGGTTTTGGCGCATCCCGGTTCAAGCTGCCCTCTGTCTCAAGCCAAAACCCGACGGGTAGAAAATCTTGGCATCCCGGGGTGGAAAGGAGGGGGGGGAATGTGGGTGTTGTACCCCTAAGTTTCAAAGGAAACAAGATATGGAAAGGGGGCTTTCTCATTGGGCTTGGGGATGATGTGGAACAGCCGCGACACTTTTATGCCAATCAGGCTTTGCAGTTGTTGGGGAGCCTTGTGTGGGACAAGTTGTTGTTTTTTTGGGGGGGTCTTTCTGGATGCTCTTCACATGGAGGCCACTCTCGGATTCCCATGGAACACCAACAAAGAACATCACATTGTGTTTAGAGGAGTCACGTTTGAGAACTTTTGAGTGTTCCGCAGTAAAAAAAGCCCCAGCCCCACATTTCGAGGTTGATTTCCTAGGGCCGTTTCCAGGTACGGATTTGGGAGGTGAACAAATCATGGCACCAAGATAAGCTTGTAATGCAAGCTACCGCAGTAAATGCCCCTTAAGTGGTAAGCCTTCATATCTTCAAGCCACCTGAACATGCCAACTTGACCCATAGGCAAGTCCCAACAACGCGCTGATCTTTCTGCCGGGATGTGCCCTGCTCGCTCGCGCGCAACGGGCGCGTTTCCGAAATCGTCGCTGCGAATGTAGCGAAGAGCCGAAGTGCTGTCACCAGTGGCTGTGACCAGCTGACCAGTAGAACCTCCTCGTCTCAGAGCCAAGTGTAACATTGCATCCCTTAAATTGCTGGCTTGGATTTGTGGTTTGAAGGTTACGGGTGGTTTTCCAATCACCTTCAACAACGTGATAAGAACCAGGGCAA